GGCTCCGCCTTTTTAAGGGTCGAGGAAGAAGTGGCTCCTGACAAGGAGCTAACGCTGTGGAAACTTCAGCTTCAGAACTCTTTAAAGTGGACAATTTACAATTTATTGACTCGGTTGAGAAAACCAAATTATCTTAGCTTCAAAATAAGCTAGGAAGTGATAATCAGGGCTCGACACTAACGGTAGCCCACTAGCCACAGACAAGTAAAAACTCAGTTTTGGCTAGTGGTTTTCAATGTCCTCAAGCAAGTTTGGCTATTAAACAGACTGAAATTGTCATAACTTCTAAAAACATCTAAGATGTCACAAGTTTTCAAGCCAAGTGACCCGTAAGGGCAGGTACTTACCTCTGATTTTTGCAGTGCATAGTCACGAGGGGTACTATATGCCAAGCCCTCCTGGATGAAGGCAGCTACTCCATCACAGGTTTCCCTGTTATTTTCCTGATACCCTTTAACACTCTATGGCAGAGAGAGGCATAAAGAGGTTAAGTGTCTTGCTTAGGAACAAAACTCTGTGGCCTGGAAAGGTCTCAAATGTGGACCTCTCAATCTAAACCCCAACATGTCAACCACTAACCCCTCTCCCTCACAGTTAAAAAATCAGAATTTGCTGTATAGCGCTCAGTTATAAATTTGTTGTGAACCTTTTTCATCATGCACATATCTTGATTGCGGGCCAGATCATTATGTTGCTGGAGATTTATGTGTGGTTTTGCTATAGTAATTTACCAGTGCTTGTTTCAAACTGTTTTGGTAAAATATGAGTTATAAAGCAAGATTTCACCTTTAAAAGTTCTGCATTTAAGAAATGCTTACAGATTTCAGAATGGTGCACAACTTTTCTTATCTTTTGCACAGTACAATCCTGTGGACATCAAATAATACACAGTGCCCTTTAAATAAGAAGACAATGATTGTTATTTTCCTCACGTTTAATGGTGCCCTGGGATTTTCAAAAAGCAGATTACACTCAAAATGATGACATAAGAATGAGAGTAAGGCTTTGTAAGAATTTGATAACTGTGCACTTTATTTTTTTTGGTTAAAAGGTGGTGGACGAGGAGGATTTAAAGGTGGAGCCAAAGTAACAATAGAGCCGCACAGACATGAAGGTGAATTTCAAAGGCGTAAATGTTGTGATATTAAGAATCCAAATATAGTTAAAAGTGATGGCAAGTAAAAACTTTCCTAGCTTCTCTATCTTGCACAACAGCTACAGTTTTTGTCCCCCTAAGTTGCTGTTAGTAATGTCATGTTCAAGCTTAGAATGAATTGAATGCAGGCTACAGTGATAAGGTGCAATAACTATCTTTAGCGATTAATTACCATGAGTAACAAGGAAAGAGATTTTCCTGACCTGACAATATTATCAGTGAGAGGATCATTAGTTGATCCAATACCATATTCTCAGAACTGACATCTTACCATTGTGCTTATACTGATGTAAATGGGGAATTTGAATGCAAAATATTATATGACGGACCCTTGTGGCTTGAACAAATACTTTCATTCAAATTTCAAAACTAGAAACACCGTTATATGGTAAAGAACTTGAAAAAAGAGGGAGAAAAATACAAAGTATAACAGAACAGAAGCCCTTCTGGTTTCAAAACACACTGTGTTGTTGATGGACTCACGGAAAGTACAAGGCGTGTCTGAGAATGCTGACATAATACATGAAGGCAAGGCAACACAACAGAAATATATTAAGGCATATGGGTGCTTCTCTGGCAAGCACAGGCCTAAAATTTATTTAGACTTATTCTTTATGGTTGATTTTTCTTTTGTGACTATAGGAGTATTTATTGCCCGTGGAAAGGAAGATGCGCTGGTCACAAAGAACATAGTCCCTGGAGAAACAGTATATGGAGAAAAAAAAATATCTGTGGATGCACCAGTAAGTTGCACTTTTCTTTTTTTTTTATCTCTTTATCATTCAGCTATGAGCATTGTTTAAATAATAACCTAAATTTAGCTACATGGAAGGGTTTGTTTCCGTTATGAAAAACCCAGTTCTCATATCTTGCATAGAAGAAATGTGTGGGATTAGAAAAGGAAATTCATAAGGGATCTTTTACTCGTATTTCTGTTTAGGATGTTGGTGCTGGTGCTGGTGCTGACAAAGTTGAATACAGGGTTTGGAACCCATTTCGCTCCAAGCTTGCTGCAGCCATTCTTGGAGGAATTGACAAGATACACATGGCACCTGGTTCTAAGGTGTTATACCTTGGAGCTGCATCAGGAACAACAGTGTCTCATGTTTCTGATATTGTTGGTCCTGTAAGTATTATTATAACATAACTAAAGCGAAGCACGTGCTCTGATTGGTCAATTTAGCGTCCCCCAATTTGCCCATGGGTGTAC